AACAGCATGACCTTGAGGCCCACAAAGTGTCCAAATCCTTGTCCAACCCATCTGTTTGCAGAACAGAGAGATATTAGCATCCAGGCCTGGCCTATATCATCCAAGTCCCCTGCCCACTCCACATTAAATCTTTTTTTTTTTTTTTAAGATTTTATTTATTTGACAGAGAGACACACAGCGAGAGAGGGAATACAAGCAGGGGGAGTGGGAGAGGGAGAAGCAGGCTCCCGGCCGAGCAGGGAGCCCGATGCGGGGCTCGATCCCAGGACCCTGGGATCATGACCTGAGCCGAAGGCAGACGCTTAACGACTGAGCCACCCAGGCGCCCCCCGACTCCACATTAAAAACAGGTTTTAGTTGGAAGGCCCTGGGCCAAGGGGGGAGCTGACCTCTGCAGCGGGGGCTGGTGAGACAAGATAACTGGCCAGAGAAAAAGCTTTGGCTGTTGTTAGTGGTAGCTGTACCATGAATTACATAATCACTCCTCTCCAGGATCTGAGCCCGGTGCAGAGTGCTCACGACCACGCAGAGTGGGCAACATCATCCTCATCTTATAGCTGAAAAAGCCACGGCTCAGAAAGTGTTTGCTCAAGGTCACAGAGCAGGGCTGGGACTATGGTGAGGCAGGTAAGGCACAACATTTCCAGGACTGCCCCTGAACTCAGTAACCAAGACAAATAATACTTTAATGCAATATTTTTTTAATCAAAATTTTTAAATCCCTGATGGGGCAAAATAGCAATAGTTTCAGTAAAGATGTCTGTGACTCACCTCACTGGCCTCCCCTTAGTCCCAGCTTGGACTCCAGAGCCAGGATTCTGCTTCTTCGGGTCTAGCCAGTTCTGCAGTCCACATCCTCAACCACCCGCCCTGGCCACACCGAACTGCCCCTGGTCCCAGTTACTCAGAACCTTGAATGGCATTCAAGTTACAATTCTTTGTGAGCAGAGAAGACCTAAGAATCATTCTCAGAAAGCTTTGAGCACATCTCCCCTGTGTGGCTCTGCTTGCTAAGCCAGGCGAACAAAACAAGCCAGAACAGCCCCTCCTCCATGCTTGGGGCCTGGTGGCATTCAGTGGAGAAGGAGGCGAGGCTGGGAAGAAGGAAGCTGGTGAGAACCATGGCCCAGCCAGAGGCCCAGACACTCCCAGGCCCATTCCTGACCCAAAGCCAGACCCGAACCAAGAGCCTCAGATGGAGCAGGAGGACGTGGGTTCTCCCTCATCAGCATCTCCATCGGCCTCCATGGGCCTCTGCCACCCACAGCCCTCACTACAAACCTCTGAAGCTTAACATCTTTGTACCTAAAGGAGAGCTGAGGTCCAGGCCAGAGACATGGTCTGTCCAGAGTAAGGTCAGGGCCAGAGCCCAGGTCTTCTGAAGACTTGTCCATGCAGCTGCCCTTCCTGCCCTGGAGACGAGCAACAGCTCCTTCTCTGGCATGTCTCCTTGCCTGTGGGTGAGAGGTTTGGTACCTTCTAGGTCTCTGGGTCCATGGAGAGGCTGAAGGGTTTTTAAAAAGCAGCCTCAAAGGGTTGGGGAGGCCTAGGGACAGGAATTTGAAGCTAGAAGTTCCAAGAGGAAGTGGGAGGCTGGGGAAGAGGGTCTGGAGTCCAGAAGAGGGAGCATGGGTGCTGGAGTGGCAGTTCCAGCCCTTGGTTAAGACTGAGTAGTCCTGGGAGCCTGACACTCATTCACTTTGCTTCCCTTGAGGCCCCCAAGCCCCTCCACCAGGCCCACTTCCTCCTTGGGAAGTGGGGAGAGAGGTCTGCCTCCTGCTATGTAAACGGAGCTCTCAGAGGTTAAGTCACTTGCTATGGTCCACACCCAGCTTTGCTGGACCTCAAAGTCCTTATATCCTTCCGGGACCGACCAGTCTCTTTTCTCAAAGGGTCGGGTGGATCACCCAACCAGGAACCCCTGGATGCCTAGTCAAATGCCAATTCTCGGGCACCTTCCTGGCTAAACAAGAGCCCAGGTGAGCACACACACATATCTCTCAGGCTGTGGACACAGGCTAAGATGCAAGAAGCAGCCAGGTGATGGAGAAAAGAGAAAGGAGGAGGCCTGGTGGCAGAGCTGGAAACACCCGAATAGGAATAAAACGAGGTTAACGAGACACTGAATCTCAGAGAAATTTCCAAATGAAATTGCATAGCATGTTCTATATTAGAATAGACCATGGTCATTCAATACTAATGATAGTACACTAACAACTTGTTAAATATTCTTGGGCTCTAAGGAGTGCTGAGAAGCCAGTCAGGGCTGCAGGAAGTTGGGGTTCATGCTGTTCTTTTCAACTGTAGAATGCTCTTACACACACACTCCACACCTGCTGCAGCTCTGACCCCCTGGCTCAGGGCTCAGCGCTGGCAGAGGCTTCGCTTTCGCTTTCGCTAGGTCCAGGATCCAAACCCCAGCCTAAGACCAGGAGGCCAGAAAAGGGGCTGCTCAAGACCCACCTGTGGGCAAGAGCCGACAATGACTTTCTCATGACCTGGCGGGGTCCATGGATCCTGGCCCTGGGGGCATCACGACTGCTAAGAGGCCCAGGATGGGGGATCTTGTTGACTGAGTTGGGACCTTGGGTGCTCCGGTGGAGATGGGGTTCTCCAGGGATGCAGCACCAGGCCAGAAGGAGCAGGGGTGGGGCGGCAGAGTGGAGAGAGTAGAAAAAGCCTCCAGAGGCGCCCAGGGAAGGAGGAACCAGGCCCAAGCTGGGGGCTGGCCGAGAAGGGCCAGGGCAGCCTGCGGCCCTTGTGATTTATGTCCCCCTCCCCATCCACCTAACGAAAATTTAACGACCCGCTGGCCGGTCCGCTGCGGGAGGTGCTCACTGCAACCGCGCGGCCGTGCCGGGGCGGGGGCCTGTCTGCTCTCGGCCCCTCGGCGCCCGCCCTCCCGCCTCCCCGACAGCTTGCAGCCGAGCGGGGCCCACGGTCCCCGGGGAGCCGCCCGTCCTCGCTCCCAGCCCGGCCGGTGGCGAGGCCGCTTCCAATCTGCCGGCGGGCGCAGGGGAAGAGCGCGGGGAGCCAGGCGTGAGGCCACCGCCAACCTCGCCGGAGGAAGAAGAAAGTTTCTGTTCACCGGGCCACGCAGGGCTTCCATGGGCCGAGTCTCGGGTTTGGGGGGATGCGGGGGCCTCATAGTTCTGCAGCGGTCTCGGATGCTAGGCCCGACACAGGGTCCGAGTAGTTTTCTGGGGGCCCGTGGGGAAGGGGACGGCAGCACGCAGGCCCACCTGGGAAGGCCTGGGCTCCTGGCGTGGAGCTGGCGAAGGGCGTCTCAGGCTGGCGGGCCGGCCTGCAGGCACGCCGGCTCGGCTCTCTCTGCCCTTGACCACCGGCCCGGGTCGTGATCCCTGGGGCCCCGCCAGGGGGATCCCAGCCCGGGACGCGCTTCAGATCTGCAAGCCGCTCTGGGCCCCGACACTGGAGGCCAACCCCTGAAAGGCACCAAACTAGAGCACCGTGGTTCGGGGAGTGGGGAGGGCGAGGGGGCGCATTATTTACAATGAAAAGACCGTGTTTCCAGCGCTGCCTCGAAAATACATTCCCAGGCGAGCTCCGGCTCCTCTCGGAGTAAGAAGCCAAGCCGGCTGTTCGCAGACGTCTATACTTGCACACGGAAGCTCTTTCGCGTCCCTGTTTGGAGGTACAAAGACACCCGGTGCCACAGGACGGGCTATCGGCTGGATAGGGGTCCCCGCCTTCTTTGTCCCGTGCGCTGCCTCCTTGGGGCCACACAGATTTCCTGGGGTCCTCAATGTCCCAGACACGATCTTCCCACCTTCTCCACCCTCGCCCCACAATGAAGCCATCGTTCTGGCCCCGCTTTCCCAAACCCCTGCCAGGCCCGCAGGGTCCAAAGAGGGTAGAGAGAGGGCTGCAAATGTCCTAGGCGGGAAACATCTAAAGCCCAACGAAAACGCCCCCAAACAATGTCGCTTAAACTAACATCTCTTCCCCACACCAGGTCAGGGCTTCTTCACAGACACACACACTTCTTTCTCTGCTGGGTTGAGTCCCTTTCTCTCGCTGGAGGAAGAAAAATGCGGTAGAGGTGGGAGGCGGGGGGAGGTGGAGAAAGCCTCTCTGACAGCCCCGCGGACGAATAATTTGAATAACTGTGGAAGAGGTTAGGGGAAACTTTAAAAACCTCCCACCCCAACCCACCGGCAGCGGCAGTCGGCGCCGGACCCCTCCCCGCTAGCCCGTGCCCCCCTCGGCTAATCACCCTCATTAGGAGCCTCATCACTGGCCTAATGAAAGCAAACCGTGTGGAAATCGCCGGTAAACAGTTGGGTCTGTGCTGTAATTAATTCAGTGTCTCTTTTAATCAAACTGAAAGGGAATCGGGCAGCGGCTTGCGGAGCCGTGACATCACCCCCAAAATCGGCCGGAGCCAATCAGCGTCATCACTCCGGGGACACGTGGGCGAGTCCCCTTTAAAAAAAACACACACACAACACAACGAAAAAAAAAAAAGAAACAAAAAAAACCCAGCCCCAAAGTAAAAGTGACACAAGTTCATTTTTTAAAGGAAGGGGGGGAGGCGAAGGCGCGCGCGGAGGACGCGCTGAGAGCTGCAACGGCGGAGCCGGAGGCGCTGTCCTCGGTGCTGACGGGCCCCCGGAGCGGTGAGAGCGCGGCGACAGGACCTCCCTGGCCAGGTGGAGCGTCATGCGCCGCGGGCCGCCGCCGCTATCCGCGGTGCTGACGCCGCCAGGTGCGCTCCGTTCCGCCGGCTGGTAGCGCCGCTCCGGCCCGCTGCTGTCCGCGGTTCTGACCCCGCTGCCCTCGGCCACTGCTAGCCTGGAGGAAGCGTGCAGTTTCGGTGTTTTTTTTTTTTAAGCCGTTCTTTATTTAGATTCCAACATCCTCGCATCTCTTCTGTGCCAAAGGGGCGCTCAGGCCGTCCATCTCCCCCTTTGCTCTCCCCAACTTGGCGCACCCTCCCTCCCATTCCTCGCTGACACTCCCACCACCCCCCCTCGGCTCGGCAGCTCGGCGCGATGCTGCAGAAGACGCGCTGAGCCCTTTTGGATCTAATGCGCAGAGGAGGTTGGCCCAGAGCTCCCCGGCTCCCCCAAGGCTGAACTCCGTCCAAGGTGCCCGCAGGCTCCCTGCCCGCCTTCCCCATGCCAGCCCGCAGCTAGGGGCAGGGGCAGCGGCGGCTGGGGTTGGGGGTGGGTGGGGAGCTTTTGGGGAGGACAGGTCTCAGCTTGGCTATGGAAGGCTCCAATGGCTTTGGGATCGACTCCATTCTCTCCCACCGCGCGGGCAGCCCCGCCCTTCCCAAGGGGGACCCCTTGCTTGGGGACTGCCGCTCACCCCTGGAGCTGAGTCCGCGCTCGGAGAGCAGCAGCGACTGCTCTTCACCAGCCTCACCAGGAAGGGACTGTCTGGAGACGGGCACCCCGAGGCCTGGCGGGGCATCAGGCCCAGGTTTGGACTCCCACCTACAGCCTGGGCAGCTCTCAGCCCCAGCCCAGTCGCGCACCGTGACCTCCTCCTTTCTGATCAGGGACATCCTTGCCGACTGCAAACCACTAGCGGCCTGTGCACCCTACTCTAGCAGCGGGCAGCCGGCCGCCCCTGAGCCTGGGGGCCGTCTTGTGGCCAAGGCTGGGGAGGACTTTAGAGACAAGCTGGACAAAAGTGGCAGTAACACCTCGTCGGACTCTGAGTATAAAGGTAAGAAAACAGGGGGAGAAAACTTGGGGAGGGGGCATGCTACATTTCTAAGAACTGCTATATTTCTAAAAACATACAGGGACATGTACGTGTTCACTTGGAGTTCCCTAGGGGCCCAGGCTGAACCTTTTGGTCTTGTCTGAACCTTTCAGCTGGCCCCGTGGCTATGCCTTTGAGCAGCAGAGCCCAGCAGAGAAAGTGGAAGATGGACACTGTGTGCCCCAAGAGAGATTCCCCAAAATGCACAAAGCGAACTTTCTAAACTTCACCTGGGACCACTTTCCCAGCAGCACTGGTGGGCAGGAGCAGGTTCCTATTGGGCTAGTGGTTCTCTGGGAAAAAATCTTGCAGAAGCAATGCAAGATCCAAAGGGTTCTGCTTGAACGCCCTTTTGTAAGAGTGAAAACCTAGCAGGATATTTCAGATGGAGCCTTAAGAACAGTCAGAATTTTCTCCTTTAATCTGAACTTCCAGGCAGGAAGAGGAACTGAGCTTTCCCTCCCGTTGGGCCCAGTGTGATCTGGGCCCTGGGAATCATGCAAAAGAAAGGCTCACTTCAAAGTAGAAAGAGCAGCTGGGGGCAGCTGACTGGGAGCAGGTTCAGAAGTCTGGTCGAGAGGGGAGGACCCTGCATCCACCCCACGGTTCTCACTGAATTTGATTTCAAGTGCGTCGAGCAGCCAACTTCAGGTTGTGTAGTGTGTGGGACCCAGAGACTCGCGAGTGACCAGCCCCGTTTCCCCAGTATTGGAGTTGCTGCCCCTTCGTTTGCCTTTCCACCTCTGTGAGTCTTTTTGTTGTTGTTTTTCCTTTTACATTGGTTTTGACCAGGAAGCTGAGATTGGGATTAAGAGGAAAGGGGGAAGGAAAGAAGGAAAGACTCCCTAATTTTCTTTCTCACCCCTAGCCACTTTAGCTCTTTGGTGAGGCCAGAGGCGCAAAATTCTTGCTAGGAAGAAGTCAGGAGGCAGGAGGGGAAGGAGTCTTTTGGTGTCAAGGGAGTAGAGCCCTGTGTCCCCCATCCGGCAGAAAACTAGGGGCTGGCAGAGGCTGCTCAGAGCTCTTTCAGAATTACAATTAATTCCGGGAACGCTTTTCATGACACAAAACTTCCCTAATAAAGGCAACCTCTTTATTGTCTTGGGAGCCCTGCACCTGCTCCACCCTATTTGTACTAAGTCCTCACAAGAATTTAGGGAAGCTCACTTTAACACTCTCCTCCCAACCAACAATTCATTTGTGGACAGGCCCTGTGACCACAAACCAAAACCCCTTTGGGGCCCCACTCCACATCGCACTGCCCTCCACTTCCCCACACAAACTGCGGAGAGTCTCCTTCGGCCTCGCTGGGCCAGCTGTGCCTAGAGAAAGGGCCAGTTGGGCTAGAGAAGCCAAGAAGGAGATCCAGAGGCATGTGGCTCAGCGACCCTTGCCCCTCCCCCTGGGGCCTGTTTAGAGAGGCAAAGAAAACTTGCCCTGGAGAAAGACAGGTGCTGGGGGAGCGGGGTAGGCAATGTAAATATGTATTTATAACATAGTGGTTTATTATTAATAATCCTCAACAAAACCCCAGCTTTATGGTTAGAGTAAGGGGTGAGAATCCCCAACACGGCATGCCAACGGCTGGTGCCGGTGGAGGTGAAAGAGAGTTTGGCTCTTGTCTCCTTTCATTTCTTTGCCCGTAGGTGGGATTTTGAGGCGAGATTTCGTTTAGGATAATTGGAATATCAATTTTCCTCTCCTGTCCCTGATGATATCTGATCAGGGAGGTGATGAGGGCCGGCTGTCCCCATATCACTTAAATAGGTTTGGAGCAGAGGGGGGTGAAGTTCTCCCCCACCCCCCGCCCCTAGGCACAGCTGCCTTTGCACTTACAAAGCTCCAGGGTAGAAGAAAAAAACGGGAACAGCCACCGCTGAGACAATGTCTGGAGCGTTTCTCCAACGTGCAGGCGAGTTTTTCAGGGCCCCAATTAGGAAGCCTTGTGGAGACAGAAACACACCGAGCGAGCCAGCCAGCCAGCCGGGGTGGGCATCTGAGCAATTCAACTCCCCATCCACCTCCCATGCTAAGAACAATTTCTTCCAAGGAGGGTACAGAGGGAAGGTCAGCCCCATCCCGAGTCTTTGGCATCAGAGGCTCCTCAAGCATCACACTGAAAGAAACTGAAACCAGTCTTTGAAGTCAGGCGGTCTGCCGCTAGGTCCTGCCTGCTAGGGCCAATGTCCGTGGAGAAATCGAGCCAGCACTTTGCTCGGAGCAGGCTGGGTCGGTGGGCCTGGAACTCTGGAGCATTGAGATGTGGCCTCCAGACCAGAGTCCGAGGCCCCACTGGGCTGAGACTGTCCCAGAGGCTGAGGCTGAGCGGCACCCAGTGCACATCCAGCCTGTGGCAAAGAGGGATTAGAGAAACGCCTGAGTATTCTTCCTGACACCACAAACTCAATCCCCCACCTCAGCCCTAAGAAGCTGGGGGTTTCCACAGTCAGTGCCGGCAGCTCCACCGAAGAGTAAGGTTTCCACAATATCAAGTTTGAGGTTTGAGTAATTGTTTCCCCACACTCGTTTCAACTTCACCTTCCGGCACAGACAGAACTCAGATTTCGCCCATCCTAACACACCTCCTGAGGTGGCCATACCTCAGCGTGGCCCCAGCTCAGGGAGGGCAGGGAGAGCCTGGTGGAGACAGGAGGGAGGCATCCAGCGAGGCTTCCGCCGAGCCAGCGCCTTCCCTGCTCGTCTGCCTCGGCGCACCCGGTGCCGGAGCCCTCCCGGACGAGAACCTCTGCCTTTTCCGGTTGAAAAGTCTTGCTCCCTAGTGGCTCAATTAACCGGATTATTGTTTCCTACAGAGAGAAATCAACTTGCATTCGGCTGAACCCTGTCACTGCAAACGCCCCGCACAATGAAACTCACCATAAAGGAAAATAGAGAAAAAGAGAGGGGAAGCCCCAGCTCGCAAAGCCCATTTTGGGGACATGGTCTTTTGGGTTGTATCATCACTTTAGGGAGAGAAGGAGGGAGATCGCTGAGCTTGTTCTATCAAGTGTGCGTTTTCCGTGCAGTCGATCCCAAACGAAGGTGCCTGGGGGAAAAAAGAAACGCCCCCCCCCCCCCCGCCGCCGCCATTCTTGGGCCAAGAGCGGGGCCCCTGCCGGGGTGTCCCGATCGTGGGGCGCAAACACACGACCATGAGCGTCGTATTGACAAGGAAACACGGACCACGGCGACGCGCGCATCCGAGGGGCAAACGCCTCGCTTGTTTTTCCAAGAGCTTCGCGCTCCCGGCCCGCGCCGCCCTCCGCACCCCGGTCTGTGGGTAGCTTAGGGACGGCGGAGGCGAGCACTCCCGCGTCGCGTCTCACGCGGCCAGTTACTGGTTTCTCGGGACAATGACTCGCTGCGGGATGAACAGGTTTTTGTTTCTCCACGCGGGCTTTTCTCCCCACATGCCGGCCCTCAGCTTCCTCCCTTCAGGGTCCGCACGCGGCCAGAAAATCGGGCTGCGGATTCCGAGCTCAGACCCGCACCACGGAAGCGCGCGCCTACGCAGCCCACCCGCTGGAACCCACGGGCCCCTCCCCTCCCCCAGCGGCTCCACCCGGTCGCTCGGCTCCCGCACGGCTACTCCGTTGATCCCTCCGGGGAGCGCGGCGGAGAGCGCGCCGGTCGGGTTCTCTCGCTTTGGATCATTTGTCCCGGAGGTGTCAATCCTCCTCCTCCTCCGTCAGGGCTCACGCCCTGCGTTGGGGGGCCGGGAGGTCCCGCCTTGGAGCCGCTTTGCCGCGGCCCCACGCGCCTGAGTGCGGCGGGGCCACCGCCGTCAGGAGCCGCGTTTACACGAACGGGGCCGGCCAGCGGGCGGCTGGGGCAGGAGGGCGCCGGCAGGCAGGCGGCGAGGCCGGGCCCCCACGCACCGCTGTGTCTCCGCAGTGAAGGAGGAGGGCGACCGCGAGATCTCCAGCTCCCGGGACAGCCCCCCAGTGCGCCTGAAGAAACCCCGCAAGGCGCGCACGGCCTTCACTGACCATCAGCTGGCGCAGCTGGAGCGCAGCTTCGAGCGGCAGAAGTACCTGAGCGTGCAGGACCGCATGGAGCTCGCCGCTTCGCTCAACCTCACCGACACGCAGGTTAAGACCTGGTACCAGAACCGGAGGTGAGGCCTGGCTGCGGGGTGGGGTGGGGACGTAGAGGGCCCCCCTTCTTTCCTAACTGCCCTTCCGTGGAACCCACCAGTGCACCGCCTGGTGCCCCTGCGATTTCCCTGTAAAAGAAAACTCAGGCCTCGCGGGGAGTCCACAGCGAGGGAGAGCGACAGGACTGGACTCGGTCTCCAGTGCCCTGTCATCCCCCTCCAGGACAGGAGGACAGACACATGGGCCTGCCCCTACCCCAGCCAGGGTCCTACCCTCCCCACCAGGACCAGCCTTAGCCCCTCTTGGGGCCGCTGAGCTCTCCCACCAGGAGGGCAGGATGCCAGACCAGGGGAAGGGTGGTGGCCTCAGTATCCAGAATGTCTTGGAGGGGGGGGGGAAGAACAAGGGCGCAGCATCTGATGTGTATGTTGGGGGGTGCTGTTTGAGCTCTCCAGGGGCTCTTCTGGCCACCTCAGCCTTTACAGTCCTGAAACCGGAGGAAGGAACAGACCCAGCTCTGGCTCCCTGGGGACAGGGTGCTTTGGAAACTGGCAGGCACTGGTCTAGAACCTGGTGCTTCCTAATCTCCCTCCCCAGCACCGTCACAGGACGAAATCGCTCACACACACATCCACAGTCACGCACACACACAGACACACACACTGACACAGTTCACACAGTCACACACACCCACAATCACACTCACACTCAGTGGAGGCTGGAATTGTGCGTTCCATAAACAAGCCTCAGAACACGTCTCCCCATTAATAATAAATACCGATTACTGCTCGGGGCATCAATAATTAAGGCCCGTTACAGTAATTACACAATTATGATGATGATGAATAATTCAGGGAGGGAAACGCGGTTGGTGTGGCCGTGCCTGCCTTGGCGGGACCGCGGCCGGCTGGCCCAGCCTCGCCGGCCAGGTGCACCCAACAGTCCCAGCTAAAGCTCAGGCAACGAACGAGCATGGCCTCGACTTCCCTGCCTCCTCCAACCCCAGGCCAACACTCGGTTGGTGGTCTCTGAATTCGGGTCCCCACAGGCCACAGGGCTCCTTCCTGGCCTGGGAGCTGGGTGCCGGGGACAGCAGGTGTGGCGAAGAGGGTGTGCAGCGGGTACTCGTTCGTACTCTAGTTGCCGACTCTGGCCTGCGCGCTGCTTCCACAGAAGCTCTGCCGAACGGGGCACCTCGAGGTGTTTGCATCTGCCAGGGTGGCGGCTCAGCTGCCCAGAGCCCCCTTCCACCGCTAGCTGACCAACCTCTTCCACCCCCCACCCCCGGTCCCCTCCATCCTCCCCCAGGGGGTCGACTTCCTAAGATACGAGGACTGGCGTGCGCAGCCCCAACACCCAGCTCCAAGTGTATCCTGCGATCCTCGATCCTCAGAGCAGAGTGTGGTGAGGTTAGAACCCCATCTCTGGGGTCAGACAGCTGGCTTAGAGCCTGGGCTCTGCCTCTTTGGAGACCATCTTCAAAACTGGCCAACGCCTTAGTTTTCTGATCTGTAAAATAGGGATAACGGCCACGAAAGGCCGGTGGAAGATTACAGGAGCCGATGCATGTGACACCTGAGGACGGTGCCTGGCACCCCATTATTTATTAACAAACCCGTGTGATCTTTCTTGGCCTCCCTGAAGGCGCTCTGGGCCAAGCACTCGTGAGGGGCAGGGGTCTTCGGAGCCACAGCCCTGACCCCGCCGTACATGTTTATTTCGGTCCCTAGGACTAAATGGAAGCGACAGACGGCAGTCGGGTTGGAGCTGCTGGCGGAGGCAGGCAATTACTCAGCGCTCCAGCGGATGTTCCCGTCGCCTTATTTCTACCCGCAGAGCCTAGTTTCCAACCTGGATCCCGGCGCCGCACTGTATCTGTACCGCGGGCCCAGTGCGCCGCCGCCGACCCTGCAGAGACCTCTGGTGCCCCGCATCCTCATCCACGGACTCCAGGGCGCCAGCGAGCCGCCCCCGCCGCTGCCCCCGCTGGCCGGCGTCCTCCCGCGCGCCGCGCAGCCTCGGTGAAGCGCCCGCCCGCCTCCCCGGGGCTCTGCGTGGGCCCCTTCCGCCTGCCCTTCGGGGGGCGCGGGGTTTCAACGCCCCTTCCCCGGGGCCCCCTGGCCGGCCCTCCCTGGAGTCCCAGCCAGCGTCCCCCGAAGGGCCCTATGCCAAGTCTACTGAGGCCCGGACCCGGACTGAGTCTCCCTAACCCCCCTCGGCGTGCTCCCTCCCGGCCACGCCATCAGGGAGCCACTTCCACCCGCAGGATGTACATACAGGACCCCCGACCCCTCGCCAGCTTCCCCAAGGCGCCCCCCTGCACCTCCTTGGGAGCAGGTGGAGGGCGACCCCGACGCTGCACTCGTTCCCGCTCCCCCTCTCCATGCTCCAGCTGTACACCCAGCCCTCTCCCCGCACCCCGACAGGCGGAGGGGAGTGTGGAGCCCTCCTCCGAGCGCCCGGGCCGCGGCAGAGCTGTACATAAGGTGTGCAAAGTGTATATGAAGTTATTTATTCGTGACCCATGAGCCCGTGACCGTGTCCGTGAATCAATGAGTCTGTGGCCTGTGCCCTCTTCCTTCCCAGGCGAGGCAGGAAGGGGTCAAGGGGGCTTGCCCACCACCCCGACCCCCAGCCCCCACCTCCAGCCTCCGTCCGGGGGCAGCCAGGCCCTCGGGTTCTCTCTCTTTTTTAAATGTCGAAATAAACTTCTTACAAATGACCACGCGCCTGTCCGCGCTCAGCCCTTCTTTCCCACCCCTCCTTAAGATCCATTTTCCCCTTCTGGGACTCGGCCTCCTTCCATCCTCAATAAGGAAATATTTTCGTCCACCTCTCTTCCTTGGCGCTGTGGTCCGGGGCAGGGGCCCCAACTGGACTCGCCTCACGGGCAGGGGCCTCCCCTCCCTGGCCTCAGTCTTCCTGTCTCTACAGTGAGGCGAGCTCGCTGCTCTCCCCAACCCCACCCCCCTTCTCCATCTGGTTCCTTGCTGCTCCCAGCCGGTCCCGGGGGCCGGAGCGGGGGTCAGTGCCTGGGCTTGCTCGGCTGCGGGCCGGGCTGCGGTGCCCTCGCTGAGCCGGCTCATCTGGCCGCAACAAGGGCGCCGGCAGCTGGTGACCGGCCCGCTGGGCGCGGGGCCGACAGATGGGCTCCGAGGCTACTCCCCCGCCAGCCCCCTCCGGCCCGTGCCCCGGCCACGCTCGGGCTCTGGATGCTCCCGGGCCCTGAGGCGACTCCGGCCCCACGCCGCCAGGACCCCGACGAGCCTTCGCTGGGAGCCTGACGCCACATCGGTAACCCCCCAATCCCGCATCTTCTCACTTCCCCCTTTTACCCCGGGAGTACGTAGATGAGACCCAGAGGGGAGCCAAATCCCCGCGTCGGCCCCATGCCCCAGCCTGCGGCTCCAGGATCTCAGGGGAGGGGGGTTTAAGGCTCCAGCCAGACTGGAGGCCTCCAGTTCATGTTCAAAGGGCCAAGGTCTCCTCCTGAGGCCGTTCCCTCTCAGGGGAGGTGGGCGCAGGTGCTCCCCTCCCACACACCAACTGCAGCTTGGAATCTCAGGGCAGAAGACAGGCCCAGGGCTGGGAAGTTTTGGGGCCCCGCAAGCGGAGCCCCCTCCAGTTTTGTGGCAGGATTGCTGTGGGAGAGGGCTGCCTCCTCGGGGGAGGGGTGGAGGGCATGTTTAAACTACCCCCCCCAAACAGACCCTGCTACAGTTTCCTGCCCCCCCCACCCCCCCCCCCCCGGCCCCACTGCTTTTCTTTCCTGGGATGGTGAGGGTATTATTCTAATTTTGCAAAATGCACAGCAGCTAATTAAGTCAAGGAGCCTCTCGGCTTTCGAGTTCTTTTGCATGTGAATGGGGGTTGGTAAATCCCCAGCTCTGGCTGTGGTGGGGGGCGAGGGGAGACTGTCCCCAACTCAGGGTTAATGAAGTGGGAAAGGAGTCTCTCATAGCCTCCTGCAAACAAAACCCCCCATGCAACAAACCCAGCCGAAATCCTACATGGATTGACTTAAGCCCAGGGGATAAGTGCTTTAAATTAATCTCATTGAATAAGAATGAGACCAAACAAAACTCTTTAAAATCATATTAAAAATCTATCAAAGGACAACTTGCACTGGTGTGCTTTTCATTTTGTGAAAGTGAAGGAGGTAGACCAGAGCAACCGCCCTTACATTTACACAGCGGCAGTGTAAATCGCAGACACATTCTCAACTATGTAATTGTCCTTGTACCTCAGAGGCGATTTCATAGCTTACATTAATGAAGAACAAGGCTTCCCTACAAGTTTATAATTGCAATATTTTAAATTGTCCTGCAATTCCCATCTGTAATAACTTTACAACCTTTGCCGTGAGGTGGGCTTCTGCTCTCAGCCATTTAGAAGGCTCAGTTGGCTTCTCTGTTCCCAACCCAGGGGCTGGGTGTGAACTCTTTTTAAAATACAAAGAAAGAATGAATGCAAGCCCCCCAGCGGGCAGAACAATAGCAGAGGCTCCCAGGAGGCATTGTCTCTGCTCCTCCACCGGCCCACCCCAGTCCCTTACAAACCTAGGCGCGGCAGGGTCAGGGCAGCGAAGTTTAAAGGAAGTCTGGATTCCCCTGTGAGCCTTGTACAAGGGCTCTGGAAACTTCGGAGGAGCCCAGCTGACTCTAAGGGTGCCCCACTGCCCCCACACAGGCAGGCCTTGCTCGGAGTTCTTCTTATGGTGGGAGCAGATGAAGACATGAGGTGGGGTAGTCACGTAGGCAATTTAACAAGAGCCACGAAGCGCCCTTTCCAAGCAGGGCCACTTCTCCAGTAGAAAAAGCTTTACATTTCCGTGTCATGGAAGCAATGCTTGGATTCGAATGGCTCTCTCTGACTCCATGTTGAGGGCTGCAGTGCTAACTAGCAAGGTCACTAGCAGTTTGGGATGCACCTGCCTTAAGGGGCTCTCATTTACTCCCTTCTTCCCTAAATATCACCTCCCTTCACTACAGGAAAGGAAAAAAAAAAAAAAAATCAAAGGAATCCACTGGGCTTTGTCAAAATGTCCTTTGCTGAGACCTGGTTGGCTCTGTGCTTCTCCAAGAGTGGAAGATGCTGTGTGCACCAGCACTAACTTAATCACTCGCCAAGGGCTCTCTGCCCTTTGGTGCGTGGGAACGTGGGCCCCTCTGAAGAAACGCAACCACTAAGAGCTGCAAACACGAAGATGTTTTGGATGCAAAACAAGCATGCGACAAGCCAAGGGGAAAATGCTTTAGGCTGCAACACTCCATGCAATGTCCCAATTCTCTGTGACTTTAAATACGGGGATCAGGCTTGCGACAGAGAAATAGGTAAGTTTGGGAAATCAGAAAATCAGAGGCACGATTAAAAATACACACAAAATTAGAATATGTACAGTGGAATTAGGCTAAAGCTTTGCCTAACTGATGCCTGAAATGTATAATCTGTCAGAAGCCATAATAGGAGAAAGAGATTTATTTTAAGGTTATTTAAATTTAGATAATATTAACCCTAAATCTGTTAAATCCATGTTTCATTATTAACTGGGGGTAATATATTGATTCTGCTTAGAAACAGGCCCACAAAGCATCCATGGCAGGAAACATTTCCTCAACCTAAGCGTTAGCAGATTAAGCACAAGCTCCACCTTGGAATCATGGTCCTTTACACACTCTGCAGGGCAGGTCCCAGCACGGCTCCCCCAGGAATGCAGAACCCGGACTGGACCTCTCTTGGAATGAGTACATGGGAGGTGGGGGGTGGGGAGCAGGGCTTCTCTTTGATCCCTCCCCATCACTGGCATTAATCCTGTTTTTCACACAGCTGGGTTTTGTCTCTCAAGTTTGATGCCTCCTTTTCTCACCCAAATCCTGTGAACCATTACACTCTGAAGTAAAAGAACGGTGGCGGATTTCCCCAAGTCAGCTTGACATGTGCTGTAGGGCTTTATCATTATTATTATTGTTAGAAATTTCACCAACCGTCCCTATGAATTCGTATATGACAGCCGGTTCGGAGGAGGTCACACTGTCCCCCTGTGGAGGATCAGTGCTCACTGGGCTCCTGCTGGCCCTCTCCCCGGGGGGCCTCTGGTGTGGGTATCAGCTGACTGCCCTACCCTGGCTACCAGAGAGGGACAGAGGCGAGGGCGCCGACCCCTCCGTGGACCCCGCAGACGGCCACCTTGCAACTCTCACAGTCCGCTCCCGGCCACTTCGATGCTGTGGGATCTGGAGGGTTTACTGAAGTGGGGCCTCGGCTCCCTCTGCAGGAACTGGAGGAGGAGGAAGGTGGGAAAGAGAACAGGAGAAAGTGGAGCCAACAGAGCACCTGTCCAGGCAGACTCCCCTCTGGAATCCCCTGCGTCCCAGCTGGACATTTATTGGGCAATCAGTACGCCGGGGGCGGGGGTGGGGAGTTGGGGGGGGGGGGCTCTCAAACCTCCCAGGGAAACACAGTGGGGGAGGGGCGGCTGAGGCCTGGGCCACACTACAAAGAACCCCAGACCCCAGACTTGAAGACAAGGTGGGATTCGGTGGGAGAAAACACTCGGGAGACCGGTGCCCTTTGACTTCCAAGGCAATGGTAAACAAAAATAAAGAAATAAAAAAGGCGCCAGTACATCCATGAGCCGCGAGAGAAGTTTTCCGTGGCCACGAACAACGCAGCCACGTGCGTGAATGCCACCTGGGGTCCGGAGCAGCCAGCGGGAGGGCCCGGGAGCCTTCCAACCCACACCCAAGCCTGCCGGGCCCTTTTCCACAAAGCACTCGTACATCAAGAAAAGGAGCTCATGGTTTTTCTCGCTCTCACAAACTGCATTCCAGTCCTTACAATCCTATTTTACAAGATGCACGCTAATCCGTGCATCAATACAGGGCAGCTAATGAAAACCTGGAGACAGAACCCTGTCCCGAGGCACGAAGAGGCCTCCCTGCCCATGCGGGCACCACCAGGCCCTCGCCAGAGGCCGCAGGGCACCTGTAACCCTGGAGCCAAGACGGTTCTGCTGGAGGAAACACAAAGTATAAGCTATCTCACAGAAGGTAAGAACTAAGTGGCTCGCCCACATGACGCTGAGCCCCACCCTCACCCCAGGGTGAGGCCTATGGCTTCTCCCAGTCAGGGACACCGTCTGCAGGGAAAAGTGGCACCGTTCCTTCCCACAAGGCTCCTGACAAGGACGGGACACCAGCCCCGGCCTCTGGGGCCTCCAGGATCCACCCCAAGCCCCAGGCCTGTGTGTGGAGGCAGAGTTAAAAAAAAACGAAAACTGTTTTGGGAACTCCTGTTGTCCCCCAGTAAGTCTCTTCGGGTTTTTCTGCTTCATGGGGAGCGTTTCTTAGTTTTTCCCATGGCCGAGGCTGGGCGCCGGCTGCAGGCAGTGCTGCGTGGCTGGCTGCCGGGCTCTTGCGTGTTTGTTTTGCTTTTTGACCTTGGCGACGCCGGCCTCCATTCCACTTGAGAATTCGGAACGCAAGATTTCAGCAAGGCGGTGTTTACTCTGGGTCTTCTTATGAAGGTCAGGCCTGAAGAACAGTAACAGCAGAGGGGGAAAAGAAACTTTATTATTTTTTTTCTTTCCCATTTGGAAAGAGGCTGAGAGCAGCTGGTTCCGAGACTGTGGAATTGACATTTTTGTATTAACAGAAGTACAATCCCTTCAATAGTGCTTGTTTTGATATTCTATGCACCAGAAGATTAGATATGGCGCTGACAGATTTTCATAACGGTGGCAAAATATCATGGCATTTTTAAAAGTGAGGCTTTGTTCTATGTTGTTTTCATGGAAAAAAAAGAACGATACACACTCACACTCTGATGGCAAATGAAGTCTGTGATACAGCAGTTTGCCAAAGGATGAGGAAAAAACCCGCCTTAAAACTCAACAACACTTGGCGGTGAGAGCTCGCGGTGAGCGGCTCCTTGCAAGTGCGGCCCGCGCAGTTCAAAGTCACCGGCCTCCTTCCAACGGGGCCAAAGAGGGAAGGCTGGGGTGTCAGTCACATTCACCTCTTCACTGGCTGAGGAGACTCCAGGAAGTACTGCTGACCTCGAAAACCCCGAGGCCAGGGTGTGCTGGGGCAGCGTGGTCGGTGTCCGCACGGCGGCCGGAGCGGACCACAGACGTGGGTGCGGCTCAAGGGGGTCTCCCTGCCCAACCCACTTGGAAAGTAAGTGCCAAAGGCTGAAAATCAATCTCAGACGTTGAATACTAGTAACTTGTTTTCAAGAGACAGCAGCCTTACCATTTGATCAGAAGATCCGAGGGAGAAATTTGTAGAAGTTCAATTGTACACAGGAAGAATGATTATGAAAATGAATAGTAAATGTTTCCTAAGACAGGATTTTCGCCAAAACAGCAACAACAACAACAGAAACGCATAGTGTTACGTGGGCCATTCCCTCAACCCCCCGATGGCAGGGTCTTAGGGTAACATGGTGTCTTGGGGTTCTTACAGAAGGCACATGTCACCCTCTGTGACTTACAGTTACAACATTTCCTTTGTAATAATCAGAGCTCAACTGGACTAAAGCTGTGGTCAAAATAAACATAACGGAACTCCTTTAAAACTCAAGAATTAGCAACAGAACTAATGTTGTGCTAATAAACAGATGATGAAAGGCTGTAGAATCGTGTGACGGCGTCGCACCTAAGCTAAGGCAACCACGCCTAATTACAGGCACCCTGTGCGGGGCGGGGCGCAGGCGCGGGGCGGCTGAGCCCGCCGCACAGGCAGAGCCTGGCTTTCTACCATGACACACAGGGGGGAAACACAGTCACCTTTGTTGGGAAAAACGAAGACTTGAGGATAACGAGGAGCCAGTATTTAAGGGCTGGAGTCTATCAGCAGTGCATGGTCGCGTCAGTGAGTGAGGGGTACAGAGCACAGTGCTTCCTGGGTTCATGAGCTCACATAATCTCCACAGGATGAGGGTGGTGTGACAGCAGCCTCCTGTCACAGACGAGAAACCTATTCTTGCCCAGGACCATCTAGCTCACAGGTGCAGAAGCAGAGACGCAAACACGTCAGAGGGACTCAAGCCTCCGCGCTTCCCACCAGGCTGCTGGTCCTGGGGCCAACAATCAGGAAGGCCCAGCAGGATCAAGGGAGACAAATAACCACAATTTGACATGGGGGAGTCCTGGGGTCACACAAGGGGGACAGGGGCCGAATCTGGATGGCCAAGAGGAGAGGCGGGGGTGATGGAGGTGCCTGGCCTGGAACCTCGCTCCTTAGCTGAACGACGTGGAACAAGGCTCTCTGGGCTTCGGCTTCCCCATCTGAACAATGGGAGGACACTTAGAACAAAGCTCATAGGTGTTGTAAGGGTTAAACAGACACACAGGTTGCCACCTGCCATGTGGAGTTCGGTCAAGCAGTTAAGAACGAGGAAACTGAGGTCCAGAGGTGCCAAGCAACTCCCCCGAGGCCACACAGGAGGCAGGCCAGGGCATTTGTGGTTGCACCCCCCTCTCCTACAGGGCACGCATTCTAACTCCGCAGGTCCTGCCCGGGGTGGGCAGGGCGGCCCGCTGTCCCCAGCGGACGGCCGCACCTCGGGGGTCCGGAGTGGGGCTGGGAAGCTGCAGGGGCCAGGCCTGCACTTGAGAGCTTGTTCCAAAATGAAGGCTGTCAGTTCTGGTGCTTGTAGTTTATTTTTAGTCGGGTTACATGACAGACGGAGTGAAAGGTTCTGACGGGAAGAAATGCTGCTGCTTCGCCTTTTGAAGCCAGGTACTCACCAAGTGTATAATTTTAAACGTAACAACCTGAGTTTCAAAATATGCGAAGTTTCAGTCAAAATATCCTCCCCAGCACAGGCTCTACTATGAGCCTCAGAGGCTGCTCCTGCCCCTGCTAACGCACAGTAAATCACCAGAATCTGATCGGGGCGACTGACCCCTCACTGCCCACAGGGCAAGCGCCAACTGCAGAGGCGGCACGCTCCTGGCCAAGGGCGCCCGGCGCTGTGCCCGTGCCCCCTCCCGGCGGTCCTGCAGCCGGGGCGGAGACCGTACCACCAGAGGGGCCACACGGGCAGGCAGACGCACGCACACACTCTCTGTCCCTTCGCAGACACACACAGCTGGGTGTTCCTGGCGGCCGAAGGCCCCGTCTGCTGGGCACGGGGTGCCGCCGAGGGGGCATGTTTATGGAGGAGTTTCAAGTCCATACTGTGGTAGAGGACACTGCTGACAGTGCGTCTCGGAGGTGGTCCTGCTTAAGCCTGGAGCTTGGTGATCTCAAAATGTCCTAACTATTTTATGATCTCATTCTAGTCTATGTACTTTGAACCTGGGACCCAAACGCAAACTCCAAGGCTCTTGGTGGTCCCGAGAGCAAGCAGGGTTTGATCTTTCAGACCAGACCCCTTCCTCAGGGTCACCCTGCAGGAGCCTCCCCTGCTGTTGCAGCAGCAGGACCCATCTTGCCCCTTGGCCAGCTCGCTGTCTGCTGTTCCTTTGTTCTGAGGCCCAGGGCCGAGAAGGCAAAGTACAGATGGGCAGGTGGAATGTTCTCAACCCAGGCCCGCGCTGGGTGCATGTGGGCTCTCACCTCCTTCTCCTGCCAAGCTGCAGTTCTCCCAGGGACTCGCCAACTTTCTTGCCCTTCTTGCCCTCCAAATACTCAAACCCCTCTCGAATGCACTTCCCGGTCCACCCGAGTAATCCCGCAGTTACTAAGCAACAGATCAGTTTATCTAACCACAGGGAGTTCCCTTGTAGTGAAGGCTGAATGAGCCCCCTCGGTCACCAGGCTGGATTACCCGGCAGGATGGGCAGATGCCACTTTCCCTGCCAATAAGGTGAAATCACAGCCTAATTAGGAAATCAATATGCCCACTAGGGTGACCGCTGCAGAGGAGGGGCCTCAGGACCTCCTCCCAGCTTTTATGGACAGATTCACAGAGGGCCACCCCAGCTCTGGCTTGTGTTAGTGGTGTCCTTTTGCAGGACAGAGTGTTTCACTTTATCTTCTTTTATTTACGTACTGTCAAGCCAATTGATGTTTTCTTTTCCGTTTTATCGCTTTAGGGTCAGGCTTAGAGAAGTCTTCCTCATCCTCACATTGAAAAATGCTCAAGCATACTACCTTTTAGTCTGCTACTGCCTTAATTCCATAGAGAGTTTCTTCTGGTTTACCGATTTCTCCCCAACAGCTTTCCAGTTATCCAAGACAGTCACTGGACAATAAATCTGCCCCCTCCCCGGGACTCGGAATGCACCCGTCACCCCCTTTCCAACTTTCAGAACACTTCCTGCAGGTGCTGTTTGAAGAGATGGGGAGGATGATGGTGGCCAACACTAATAAAGCCTACCAAATATATTGAAACAACATGTAACTTACACGGGTGGTGAAGGGATTTAAAGGTAAACAAGTCTTAAATCCAAGACTTTCGGCCTGGCCGTGCGGCTGTAATAATTCTACTACCCCCCCTCACATGGCACCTAGGGTAGGTCAGGTACTGTTTTTGGCACTCAACAGGTATTAACTCATTTACTTCAACAACAACCCCAGGACACAGGTACCCTCAGCACCCCCAGGGTCACGAACCAGTGACAGAAGAGCTGGGGGTTCAGCCCTGAAAATCTGACCCTGTGACTTGCACACTTAACCACCGTGCTGTTAAGTTGTCATCAAAACCAAAAGTCTCTTCATGAATTTTTTTTTGTATAAGGGGAGAGGCGGGGAGGAGAAGAGAGAATCTTAAGCAGGCTCCATGCCCAGCACAGAGCCCAGTGAGGGGCTCAATCCAATGACCCTGAGATCATGACCTGAGCTGAAAACAAGAGTCGAACGCTTAACGGACTGAGCCACCCAGGCATCCCGAAATACTTTTAATAACAAGACAACATACATGTTATCTCAAAATCTCAGAGATCCCTGGAGCCCCTGATAGGTGCATCTTAAATGTTAACGGCTGGATAACTCAGGTGATAAACAGCAGTTTAAAAACTCATATTTGTTCAGCTTCATTATAGATACAAAGAGACCCGAATACGTACACTTGCAGAGAAAGTCTGAAGGACATAAAAGATGTGATTCAAGGTTAACTTGGATTGTGGGTTTATGGGTGATTTTAAAGCTTTTCTCTATTTCCTGAATTTTTACAATGAACATGTATTATTTTTATAATCAGAAAAAAGTATATTTTAGGAAAAAAAAAATCAAATGGTAGATTTTTGCCCTATGCTGAAAAATCAAAGTATTTTAATCTTTACCCATCAAAACCTCTTTCCTTTTGGCTGTTAGTTTGCTTGATTTTGTGACGGATTTTTCTCTTAAAACAGACACACAGAAGGAGGAGTAGTCAAGTGTACTTATTTCTCTGATCTGAAAGATTCTGCATATAAACAAATGACCCAGAGCCACGGTGAGATCGCCCCCCCACCAAGGACTCTGCGGGGAAGCAAGCCCCCCAGCTGGAAGAAAAGCCTGGGTTCTAAGTGATCCTGGTAGGAAACAGGGATGCTTTCAGGTGGCTTGAGACGGACTCAAAGTTTCTACTTCCCGCCTTGCTC